TGGTCAAATAAGTAATGTTCAGGATTGCCTCTTTTCCCACATACACAGGTGGTCTGATTAAGATATTTTTTTCATAAAAGTATGTGGAGAAGGGTCATATCCCGTAATACGCCATTTTATATACAGATTTGTACTAATTTAATCTTTTCGAAGTTTTTGTATAAATTTGAATTTCCTTTCTTGGGGGATGTTTTGCCTCCACTATTCCCATTCTAGTAATAATTTTTGCATTGCGGAGAATTTTAAGTATGATTTCAGGAGTGGGGTGTTTATTCCTTGTGCATTATAGGACCACTTTCATCATTTCAGGATGTACTTTAATCTAGTCGATTATTATTTTTGTTTGATGGCTTTGGATTGAATATGTTGTAATTTCTCTTACGATTGGAGATTTGTGAGCTTTATTAGGTATTGCATGCATTATTGTGGACAATGAGTCTGTTTTAATTTTTATTGTTTATATATTGTCATTTATGCTGCATTTAATAGCTTCTTTTGTCACAAATCTTCTGCCTGAAATACTGAATTTTGGCCTTTTAGATAAAATTTAAATATATTAGATTACTATTGACTTTAATATATAACTATTTCACATCCTACTTCATTATTAAGTTTTGATCCAACCATATAAATTCCTATTTTGTGTTATTTTTCATTTCTGTTTTCCATACCAAACTTCAGACAGATGTTTAGATATTTTGATAGATGAATTTGGTAGAGATATGAAACAATAATAACATTAAAATACATCAAATTGGAAGTCTCAGAGATCCACTCAACTCCAGATTCATTTACTAGCTGTATCTTATGTAATGGTTTCGATACTTTTGATTTCATTCAGGAAATTTTTTAGAACTTTAAAACTGTGAATTCTAAACCTTTAATTTATTGCATCCATTGAAAAATATACTGGGAGCATTTAATACACCTCCCAATGTTAGAATGATCAACATTTATTACCTTGTGGTCATCTATGTTTTTGGGTGAGACTTTTAAGAAACTCATCATTAATGTGATCAACAAATTACATTTCAGTATTCTGCTTTCAGAATATTAATAGAATCAGAAAATTTAACATCTATTTTTTTTTCCCCAATGGTGGGCACTTCTCACTCCTAAGGCCACACGTGGTGACCATTTAATTGTGGGGATACCTAAGAGGCGATCACCATTACCTCCTACAAAGGGACAATTTTACATCCAAGCCTTCTCTGGGATTTTAACTCGGGCATCGCAGTCAGGCTCCCTTAACCACTATACCATCTGGCCGGCACAATCTAACTATAAAGGAAGATTGAATGGTCTGTTAGACTTTCTCCTGGCCTACTTGGGCATCCATAACCTCATTAGCATCAATAGCTAAATTATTAAATTTGTTCCTAATTCACACTACATTTCAACAGTTTAACTAGATAGGCAGGTTTCTTGGGTAAAACAAAATTGTCCTTACTATTAGTAGCATCACTGCAACTACTACACTTATTCATTTTCTTAACTATTCTAATTGATACTTTTAGAATTAGCAGTTATCATTATAATGTTTTCATTAATATTTACAGCATTATCAGGGTCAATAATATTTACATTAGCAGAAGTAGCATTAATACACTTAGCTTTACAATAATACTCATTCAATAATAACATTTCTTTACTGACAAGGACAAATGGCACCAAAGAGATTACACTTACTTTCAGGAAGACAGAAGATTTTTTTCAGCAACCTCCATCATCAACAGAGGATTCCATCACAATACTGTAAAATGGGGCTGGACTACATCTAAAAAAACGTATTTGATACTCCACATAACACTTTTAACTCATGTTGAATTTGCTCGATAAGCATACGTTCTTCAAATTTAATACATCTATCTTTCATAAACATTTAACAGAACTAAATATTGATTTTCTTGTCAGAAACAATCACTGGCCAAGAAAATGGCAAAAAAGAATATTGTAATCAATATGACCTCTGTGTTTCACTCAGGCAAGAAGTAGGAGAAAGCTGATAAATTCCTGAATGCTTTTCTTCAATTGTAAACTCTCCCTACTATGCAAAAAACAGTGAAAGCAAATTCATATTTTGCACTACTCAATGAACAAGATTTTTCACTGCTAGGACCACTGAAAACACCTGACATTTATACAGAGGGCAATTTTTTTATTCAGCATAGAAATTATATTTTAAGTATATTACAAATCATTTGTTCTTATCTTTTTGTTCGCTTGTGTGTGCATCTAAGTGTGTGGATTTGTGTTAGAAAAAGATGTAAGGTGTTATGCTATTAATTTCACTGTCAGATAATTTTTTAAAAATTTATCACAATCTTTAATAAAAAAAAACAGATGGAAACAATTAATTTAATTCTTTTATTATAAAAAATTATAAATTTTCCTTTATTACAAATATTATAAATTTTTTAAAGACTCAAAACTGATAATGAGAGAATATATTGCACATATTAATCTAAAATAAACCTTTTTATTATACAAACAACTTCACAAACAGTAAATATTTGCAGTAAAAAAAATATACAAACAGTAAATATTTGCAGTAAAAAAATATATCTCCTTAAAATGTATGAAAATATAATACATCACAGATATTTATATTTTTTATAGCACAAATTACATCTCAGTAAAAATTTTACCATAAATAAAAAGTAAAACATGCTTAAGTTCATTACTAAAATATTAACTGCCCCATTAATTACAAGCTTACATATTTAATTCTTTTGGCAAGGAAAAATAAACTTAGATAATAGTATCATAGAAAACATTACCCAATGCAATTGAAATGAGTATTCTAATTTTTAGCTCATAGTATTTATGTTAAACACTTCAACTTATACAGGCTGTTAATTTTCTATATACAAAAGTATTTTAATTGCTTATAGAGTGGAATTCCAATTATTTAGTCAATTGTTGTTCTTTCCAAGTTAAGGAACATTGTTTATTATTGATTTATTTGCAAGTTTCCCTTTTTTCATTTATTTAAATAAACTGTAACGATAATACAGTACAGTACAGTTAATGACTGCTAAAAAACCAACTTAAACAACTAAATAGATTACTCTTTTTGGTATTTCATTAATGTCAGAAATTTATTGTAAAGCATAGCATACGAATTTACTTCTGTTACTAATATATAATACTACTCTGTTAATTTTATTACTTAATTTCCTTATTAACACATTAAAGTGGGGATCTTGACGAAAATATGCTAGGTAACGCAGCGACTGCTTCGCCTTGTTTTTCGTCCTAGAACGGGCAATATTTTGCGAACTCATAAAAAAATTTAGACTTAAAAAAAGTTAATTAAAACTCTTAAAACTACAAGAAATATTAAAAAAGAACTAAACACTAATTACAAAAAATGTTTTAAAGTGCATATTTATGAGAAGAATTTAGTATTTTTATGAGTGTGATAATGTTGATAACACTTGCCACGGTGAAGAGGTGCATTGCAAAACTCGCATTTGAAGCAAGTCAACTTTCTTTTTTTATGTGCCGCACAAACTAGTTGAGATACATGCGCAGGCTACAGTCGAGATGCGCAAGGTACAGTCGAGATAAATCGTATTACTACGACTCCCGCCTTTAAGCTATAGTCGATATAAATTGTAGTACTACGACTCCCGCCTTTAAGCTACAGTCGAGATAAATCGTAGTACTATGACTCCCGCCTTTAATGTGTTAACATTAAAAATATCTTTAGTTAAATCTTTTCATAACTTTTGGATTGTTATATTACACTATGCTTCTTTGCATTCATTTATCATCTATGTAACTTAGGAAGTGTTGCCATTGCATAAAAGACAATTTCATTCATGTGTCACTGAGCATGGCAAATAATTACTTTTCATTGTATTATCATTCACTGTTTGAACATCAGTCTAATTAACAGGCCAAGCTCTGTTTTAAATAAAAAAAAAAATATATATATAGTTCAGTAAATATTACACAGCACAAGGTAGCATTTTCATAAAAAGAATTTTCATGAAATTTTGAAGCTTGGGTTTACCAATAAAGCAATAAGCAATAAGATTTAGAGCAAAGGTCAGTTTACTTAATATAATTTTGATTAATTGAATTCATTGTTTAAAAAATTCTGGAATAACTATATGACCTGATAAATATCTGCTCTATATTAATATGAAAATTAACTTCAGTGTCCAAGATCATAACTATTGATTGTATTAAGAAAGTCATGCTTCATTGTATCGTAACTAGTGTTACTGGTAAGGGAGTAATGTTGGAACAACAAATAGTTTAAAATCCCTAAACAGATGGCGGCACCCGCCAACAGCATTTTTATTCTCTAAATTAGGCTTGACAATAGCACATGCTAAGTTTAAAAATAAAATGTAAATAATGTGTAAAAAAGGTTTGGGAGTAAAATTAACATTTAAATAATAGTATATAATTTTTAAGATTTAATTCATAATTTTTATAATTTTAAACACATTTTATATTTAATTATATGTATTCAGTGTAAACTTTATCTGTGAACAAGCTGTGTGAAGTACTGCCTCCTGTTCTTGTTGAAATGGTAGCACATGGAACTTGAGGATTGATGCTGGTGTGTTTTATCTTATCATGTATTTGTCAAAATAAGATGGACCTGTAGTAAAATAATAATTAAACCTGGATTAGTCGAGTGCTGACTTTACAGTGAGAAAGATACATGCAACCTAAGAATGTAAAATACCAATAGATTGCTTTTTGGGAAGGCCATATGACTTCAAAATATCATTCACTTTGGATATAGATTTTATTTTGAGCCATCACAGAAAAGATTTTGATTTATTTACCCCTTTTCCTGAAAAAGTGAACAGATAAATTGGTTGCTTCTGTTCCTTTCAAAGAACTCATTTCCCTTCTCCTTTCTAATGGCAACCACTTTCAATTTATAATTTCTTGACATGTTGGGGCATATTAAAACACATGTAGTTTAATGGTTTAATTTAACTTGGACAATTTTTCTCTCTTTCAAAATCTAGTTATTGATGGCAAGCATTTCCATAACAGGCCAATTTTATCAACATTATACATTTGCTCTAGAAGCAATTTTTTGAGCCACCAATTAACTCATTGTAAAAATCCTTTGCCATACTCTCTTATGATCACTCATAAAAGTTCACTGTGCATTTCAAGCTCCCGAATGCGATGTCATTTTTTGAACCATACAAGCCATTCCTGATGACACACTGACTTCATCTTCAAATAACAGTTAATCTCCCCACCACCACCACACACACACACACACTCAAGTCCACAAAGATTTTCTCTAGGCTGTCTGTTGGATAAACTACTCAAAAAACATAACTTATCCAAGTTTTCATAGTTTTATTTTTCCTTTTATTCCCACAGCTAAATTAGACGTATAAACTGCATTTCCTTTTTTCCCCCTTTAACATCAGATATACACAATATGCTCACCTATCCCATACTGTAACAATAAAGATTTTATGTTGGATGTGTTCTCTAGTTTAGTGATAATTTCAAGTTTTTGATGAACAAAAGAACAATATGCTTCTGCTTCCCCCCCCTTTTTTTTTTCTTTTTTTTTTTCAGACATTTCTTACACAACAGTACAGCAAAATTAATTGAAACAATGTCATTGATACATGTCACAAAAACAACTTAATAGCAAAACTACTCTTTATTGAGGCAACACACCTTCTGTTTGTTTTTATTTACATTATTTTTGTATTTCAATAGCAATCAATATGAAACACAAGATTAAAGGCTGAACAGAGAGTCATAGGGCCACTTAAGGCTGTCTCAGTCACAGACACATACAGCAAACACACTAAAGTAGAATTCCTACAATTAACTGATAATTAAGGATATAATTTATAATCTTGCTTGATGGATTTCTTGCCTTGTCAAAATTTGATAAAAATCCATTACATGTTAAAAGTTCCACTATAAAATAATTATGTATATTATTATTATAATATTATTAGTTCCATTATGATAAAAATCTTTCCTTATATAAATTAATAAAAATTATAAATTCCTTATATAATTATAATATTATAAAAGTTTGCAGATCTCCATGAAACGTTTACCATCTCATTGCAGTTCTGAACTTTAAAGATAAAATCTTTTAAAGTAAGCATGAAAGTCACTATATACTTGACCTTTTGATTACTATTACCAGTCTCAGTTCTTATTTATGCAGAATTTCCCATTTTTTTTTCCATAATTTGTAGGTATAATTCTTCATAAGGATTATATGGCCTTCCTCTTCAACCCTGCAACTCAATGTTTTCAGTGTTATTTTGTATATTAGTCTTTATAGCCAATGCATCCAACATCCCATTTCCAATAAAAACCACAAGTGGTCCAGATTAATGGCTGTACAGGATTTATTTTTAAACTGAGCAGTTTAATTTTGTAGGTGATTTAACAATGTTGTGTGTGTATATATATGTATATGTGTGTATGTGTTAGATAAAATCAGCTTTATAATTCAGTTTAGCAATAGGCTTTTAATTTCCATTTTTTAATTTGGGTAGTTCCTCTTTATTCCCAAAATAGTAATAACTTTCCTGAACTGTGCCATTTCTATATTAATCTATGTCATATAACTTGCACAACACTGATGTAGCTAATTGAGAAACTAAACTCGAAATTTTGAGAACTGAAACCTTTCTGATCTACGCCAAAATCTCTTGTATTGGATAATCGCGCACTTTAGCCTAGGCACAATTACAATTCCAAGTAAATTGTGACCCCATATGTCAATGGAAATAAAAATTAACATTTAATCTTATTCAGTTGCTATGTTTCCTCCTCACTATGGATCTGCATTCTACACCATCAATACTGCTACATCGTTTTCTCTTTTTTATTGCATAGATATGGTCTTGATCACAATGAACTTCCAAATATAAATTATCAGTTATCACTGCTGTTATTTCATGCATTTTCTTTTCCATTTTATATTTCTCTTAAAAAATCTTGTTTTACTCTCATAGTTTGTGATAGCAATTTTTGCATTTTCATGTAATTAAATTTTTTTTCCCCACAGCCCGATTAATCTTCCCCTTCATGTCAATCAGAAGTCTATTTATACTAACAGAAAAAATACAGCAAAATGAGACTGCGATAAATATGGAAACTACAAAATTGCATCACTGATTATAATAACATATTAAATTTGAAACATATTACATTAGATTAAACATACACATAATGGTACACATTTACATATATACAAAACACTCTCTTCAATTCTATACACTACTTTTTGAATAAAGATATTATATAAATTAAAAAATCATGCAGTAGTTTGCTGCTGCAAGTTCCTCCTAAAATGATCTCTCAAAGAATATTCATTAAGTGAATCTGTATCATCTTTAGCCACATTATTTAAAAGATGTTCATATTCTTTATCACTACCATATAATTCTTCAGCAGCCTGAGTGAAAACACTGGACTCAACAATTTTCCCATTTTCATATTCTTTATATTTTTCAGTATATTTTTTATCACTGATAGGCTCAGTCACATTACCAGAAGCATTTTCTATCTTTTTAGTAGTCTTATATTCAATATGTGTACCAGCTTCTACCTTATTTTTCATAATATTAATTTTTTTAATTAATTCCTGACCTTTTTCAAATGACTTGATATTGTGGCCTGGTGGCTTAGGATAAATGTTACAGAATGACATTTCAGGAGAATAGTCAAAAATAAAATATAGCAGTTTATACATTTCATCTGGCAGAAAAAAACACTGACCCATTTCTTTTCCAAGGCACTTTGGAATATGATCTTGACTTGAATATGGAAAGCATACTTTACAATACTTTCTTTTTTTGGGCACATCATCAAAGGATTGATATCTATACTCAGATATGAAAGCTACAGCATCAGGCAATTGATTACGCCAATGGTGTACTTTCATGGGAGGTTTATTTTCTCGATCAAAAAAATGGAACATACCTTCAGATATAATGAACATGATAATATCAGATTCTAAATATTTCTCTTTCAACCAATCATGTGGATATCCAATACTACCATATATTGTATCTACTTTCACATTACAATGAGCAGTTAAGTAATTTTCATATGCTTCAACAAATTCTTTATGGGCACCACAATCTGGGGAATATACAAATAGCACAACAGGCTTCGATTCTGAAAGGGAGAAAACAAATTAAAAACTAAAATGAAATAATAACTTTAGAAATATGCACAAGTAGGAAGCAAACAAACACATCTAGCTGTTAAAAAAAAGACTACAAATATTAACTTTAGAAATATGCACAAGTAGGAAGCAAATTAACACATCTAGCTGTTAAAAAAAGACTACTCAGCACTGAATGTAAAATTTGTTATGCGGTAAGATCAATTTCAATATTAAACCTAAACATTTTACTAAAGATCAGTGCAGATGCACTGATGAATAAATTATAATCCTCATGCCAATCTGGCAATTCATTTACTTATTTTCTGCTTTAATTACCACATGAATTCATAGCAGCTTGAGAAATGAGTCATGCAGTGATACCCAAAACATTTTTTTTAAAGTATTAATAACTGAACACCAAACAGCATAGTAACCTATTATGCTCACATTATGCTTGGCGATGATTGCAGATTTCAGCCAACTCCGCTGAAAAGTGTTAAGTATATCCTTGAGAAGAAATTTTAACATAAATTTCTTTCTGGATGGAAAAAAGGTCAAAAGAATTTATTTAGTGCTGTTTGAATTAAGATTAACTGATTTGTTGTTCGGATAAGCCTTCAGTGTATGTTAGATTCCGAACATGTCTTTGGTCACCAACCTCGTGATACACTGGCAATATTATATAGTGGGCACTAGCTAAATTTTATGATGATAGTCACTATTTTGAAGACATTGCATACAAGGAGCAAATTTTTCTAATTAATAAAATTTGTGATGAAATGTGGCAAAGTGGTAATAAATGAAGGTGATATAACAGAAGTTTTTTATTACAATGACAATGCTCCAATAATCAATCAACAAATGGATGGCAAAATCTGATATATGATTCTAAATCCAGAAAATTTTACTAGTGCAGAAAGTGACAGAGAGATTGTTGGAAATAAAAAATACTTCAGCTGACAATTTAATGGAAATTCTCGACATTGCAATTACAGGAATTGAGCAATAGAATATTGTACTACAGAGTACAAATTAGTTAAGATAAAGCGATTTTTTTATAATTTATGTACATACTTTCATATGCAGTGACATTAGGAATAAATAGGAAATATGTACTAATTAACTGCTTCATGGAACTGATTACAGTACAACATGTGAGGCTAGTTGCAGGAAGAAGACTAATTTGATGGAGGATATTCTAAGGGAACTATCGCATATTCAAGCTGCAATGGGAAAAGTCCAAAAACTATACCCAGCTAACTTTTTTCATTATGAACTGTATGAGACAAGCTGCAAGCGATATCCATCTGGCCAATTATAGACTCAAATATTAATGGAAAAACCAGCAGCATGGAACTTAATAATAGCAGTTGTTAATTAACAACTTCCACAATGAAATACTTCTTAAAAATGAACATTGCAAGCTTTACTCAACATAAAAAGGGATTTGTTTGTTGATCTGTGTGACAAGTGAAGTAAAGGAAAATAAAGAATGCTATAGAATTCATTGCATTTAACAGATTCTAAACAGCAATGGGAACATCTTTGGATAATTTTAGGAAAGCCAAATGATTTCAACATGAAAACCATATTCAGGTTGCATTAATATTACAATCTACACAGAATAACCAACGCAAATAAATTTATTGTGGCACTAACAAATTAATCGTGGCAGTAAATATATCAACTGAATTTAAATAAAACAAATAATAATTATAATAATAAAACCAATTTGTCAAGAATCTCTTGAAAAGAAATATAGTTGTTTTAGAAAAATATTTCTTTACAGTAGAAATTAAAGCAATGATACATATTTTAATCTCACAAATGAAGTTAGAAGGAAAAAATTAAAGAAATACACTCATGTACATAAATTAAGGATAATGCAAAATCAGGCAAAGGAAGAGTTAGAAGCAAAACAAATTTGACTTATTTGTAAAGCTTATTTATTAAACAAAAGGTAAAGAGCAAAAAAGATGCTATATGTTTGATATTATTAAAAAAATTAGCGATTTTTCTCTCTGAAGCAAATTACAAAAAAAAAAAAAAAAAAAAAAAAAAACACCTATTTACAAAAAACCAATATTACATGATCATCAAAATCGTAAAAAACAACCTTATATTTAGCGTAGGTATAATGAAACACTCAATCGATTTCGAGGGCAGCTAAAGGTCCCTCCTCATCAGGAGAAAGAAATACATAGAAAGAAGAAAATAGGAATCACAGAAACACGTGGTGCTTATCAGCACTGCACGTGGTTATAACTAGATTTTTAATCAGAGTTGCACTGGCCGCCTACTTCTAGTCCTGGCCAGTCCTGGCGCACTGGCCATCTACTTCTAGTCCAATATTACATGGTTGGTATGATTGTTAATACATTGTATGTCTCCCAGATGATGCAATACAGTCCGTACAATGCCTAGGCAAGCTGAATATCAAATTATCGATTTGATCTTGGGGGATATTAGACCACTCAAAAAGCAATGCTGTCCGAAGTTTCGGTAGACATGTAGGAGGTGGTTGACGGTCTGCAACTCGTCGGCCGAGCATGTCCCACACCTGCTCTACTGGATTCAAGTCCGGTGAGAATGCTGGCCAGTCCATACGGGTGATATCCTCCGATTGAAGGCATTTGCTTACGATGTTTGCATGGTGAGGACAGACGTTATCACCCATAAACACAAATTGTGTGCCCATGGCGCCCCGAAACAAACGTACATGTTGTTCCAGAATGACGTCCCGATAGATTTGGCTTGTCATGGTTCCAATTTGAACATGCAGGTCAGTTCTAGAACCCAGAATAATTCCACCCCAAACGAGCACTCCTGCACCACCGTAACGGTGTCATTCAATGATGTTTTCTTGGTGGTAACGGGTACCTGGAGCTCTCCATATGAAAGTCGGCGAGAATCAGACTGCAAGCTAAACCTGGACTCGTCGGAAAACATCACACAAGCACACTGTGCGGTGTCCACAATGCATGCTCTCTCTACTCCAATCTAACCGTAGGCGACAGTGAGTTGCAGTAAGTGGAACGCATCTGACAGGTCTATGAGCATATAGACCAATCTGCCCTAAGCGTCTGTACACGGTCTGCCTTGAAATTGTCATATCAGTGGCTGAAAAGAGCTGACGAGACAGGTCTGAGGCTGTGCTCTGCCTGTTTCTTTTGGCAGTAACTGCCAAATAACGGTCCTCATTCGGCGTTGTAACTCTGGGGCGACGTGTGCTGTAATGTCTACTCATGTTACCATCCTCTTGGAATCATTGCCAAAGCCTGGAGATGACACTCTGGGCAATTCCAAGTTTGTCTAACACTTCCATTTGGGTACGCCCACATTCCAGACGGCCGATAATTCTACCACGTAAAAAATCATCCAAATGCGTCCTTTGTGTCATAACTATTCGGTTATTGCACTGAAATGCTTATAAAGCGCCTGCGAACAATTTTACTTCTTTGCCTGTATTCCTTATATATCACTCTCTTAAACTTTCATCATTGTGATGTACCATTGGTATCATCTGGTTACTTCCTGAAATTTGCATATGATTCTTGAAGATGTGTGTAGTGATTTTACAGGTATTATATTTATTTTAGAGTTCGATTCCGCGTGACTCCGAATTATCCTTAATTTATGGACATGAGTGTATCATCCATTTTTCAGTTTCTGATGCCTAAATAATTTATGTCACTGGATTTAGGTAACTTTAAGGCTTACAGTGTAGAACTTTATATCTAAATCCTATAAATTCTGAAGAAACTCAGTTAGAAGTATTTAGTTTAAAAACACCAAGCTGAAATTATTAAATGTCAAACCCTATTTAAATTATTAAATGTCAGAAAGCAGCCATGTTTTTTTAAATATAATTCTCAAATATAATTTACTTCAATTGTACCTGAATCTGAGAGTAGCACTAAGCATATTTTTAACATTTCCAGCTGTTACACACTGTTATTTTAGAATAGGCACTTCAAGGTAATTTCCTCCTTCTCACTTGTCTTGTAACCATGGTAATGAATATTGGAAAGATCATCGTGTTCTGTAATTTGCTGCAGTCTCTTTATCATATGTGTGCTGTGATGGCAATATGTTATAATTGTAGATGACAGGAGTGCTGCTATGCCTTTGAGTTGCATGTTTTAAGGTAATATACTAATACTATACATGTTTTAAGGACTATAGCAGTGAAAGAAAATTCAACATATTTAAGATGAGAAAAAGTTATATACAGTAAACTCTTGCCAAGCACAATTTTGCATATATGTTTTAAATTGTTTTCATTTCATTTATCCAATGCTAAAATTTCATTCATACATGCTTCAACCTGGTTAAAGTTCAGAATATTTCGTCATAATCTAATAAATAAATATAATAACAATAAACTTTTCTTTCAATCTCCCAAGACATGCATTATGCTCTGAAGCTCATATTTAAATTTACACAAAGTGTTTTAAATATCAATTATATATGACTAATCAGAATTTCACAATTCTTCAAAGAACAGAAAATAAACAGAAGATTTTACCATATCACTAGCAACCAAATTTATGTTATGAACACCAAAATGTATGTAAGGATTTCTTAGATTTTCTTACAGAACAAGAATTTTCTACTCTTGCCCTTTCATGTTACTTACATCATCATATGACTGGTCATGATAAACTAAAAGAGGTTAATCCTAATCTAAATAAAATTTACAAAACAGTAACTTAGTAAGTCTTTTTCACGTGGTATCATCAATTTCATTAAAAAAAATCTCTAGAAAACATATCAACCTTCTTTTAATCAAAAAACCCACTCTTATTTGTGACATGCATCTGATGTACAAATTAGAATTATTGAACAATGTTTGATTTTTTTCCAAAGCAGAAGTCATTTCATTAGAAGCTGCTATAATTATTTTTATTTTGAATGTTCTTGCTGAAGTAAGTAATCAGTCTGTCAGGTTTTAAAACTTATTGAACATGTTTGTTCAAAACAAGATTCATTGGTCACTGACTCAAACTACACTTAAAAATAATAAGGCTTAAATTTCCAGCTTCTAATGAGCTCTCTTAAAAAAAGATTCCTTTCCACCAAAAATATGATAGAAAGCTCTCTCTTTAAAATTACTTTAGGGATATTAGAATATGCTATTTGGGAAAGTTTTAGGAGCTGCAGCCACCATGTATGCACAAGTTAAGACATGCATGTTTCCATGTGGCAACTGTAAACATACTGACCAGTCAAGCTCATTATGGTACCCCTCCTTAAATTTAGGAATATGCTTTTATTTCTTTTTTCTTATTATTTATTCATTTTAATCTAATTATGATAATTATGATAATCTAATCATTTTAATCTAATTATGATAATATTAAACAACAGCTTTTACAATTTTTCAAATTTGTAACTGATTTACTTATTGAGTATCATACATACTGAATATTTCTCTCATCACATAACAAATATCTATAGTTATGAGAATGCATATGAATACATATCTCCTTTAAAATCAATGGGGATATCTCAACCTGGTGAAGATTTTATATAAACCTCTGTGCATTTTGAGAATGAACTGATACAGGTTCACCATTTTCAGAAAAGGCTTTTTTCCTTTAAAGGACATTCTTTATAAACTAAAAAGAAACATGAAAAATTTCTTCTTAAACAAATTTACATAAACACAGATAGAAAATACCTGGTGAAAAGATGTTCATGTGTCGCTTGAAAAGTCTCCAAAAAATCAAGAAAATAAGAGCTGCTAATGAAATGAAGAAAATTACAGCACACATGTAGATGATGATTATCAAACCTAAAAATTAAATTAAATTATTTTTTAATATATAATTTAGATTCATAGCTCATAACAATATTTTAAAAAGCAGAAATAAAAACACACAATTAAAAACTTAAAAGAGTACCATTTATGAAAAGGACACGAGTTTAGATTAAAAAGTTTACTAATTATAAAATAAGGTTTTAGGCTTATAAATATGTTTAAAAAGTAGGAAAAATTTTGTTAGCAATCTGCCTAAAAAAGAACTGGTAGATTTCAGTGGAAGGATGTTCTAATGAGTATTTTTGTTAATTACAAAGTATAATTTGCAATACGAAATTTCGCATTTGAATATTAAATGGCACAGACAACAACTTTGCTTTCCTCCACATACAATGATAACGCTGTACAAAACTGTACCAGATTTTTTTAAGTAAAATGTACTTTTCTTAATATTTTTAGGGGGGGAGTATGGGAGGGTGGGGATGGCTTTATTTATTTCAATGTCAACTTCAGAATAATCACAGCAAGTGCATATCGATACTATGCAATTGATTTTAGCTTGAAAGGGCTATTCATCTCAAATCTTTTTCATTGAATCGCTTTTGATGTCCTTAACACTTTTCAAACAAATAGATGCCACAATGTTGGTAACAATGCTCGGAATCAATCATATTAATCAGGTTGTTAGCATTTACTTGATGTGCTTTTAAGAATCTCAAATGATTGAAAGTTCTTCAACTTTCATCTTCCATTATTTTTCATTACATGGGAGAATAGAATAATAAAAGAAAGACCAGTCAAAAGAAGTAAGTACAAGAATAGATTGATCAACTGTGATAGAAAGCATATAAAAATTTAAAAAGGAGCCGTTTGAACAACATTAAAATCTCAACCTTTTCAGATCTTATTTCATTTTATTTACTTATTTTTGGTAACCCTTTATAAAAGTTTGGAATAATGTTTGTTCATTTTAAGTCATCTCGTGTTAGTTTTCATTGCATTTTGCATCCTGCATTCGCTAGATTTTCAGAAAAAGGGCACAATTTCCAGGCAAAATTCCAAGTATTCCAGTTCTCACACATAAAAAGATGTAAAATATTATGTTAACAGCTGCTAACAAAAAGTTAGAACAACCAGAAATTTGTTTCCCAGAAATCATTTGCCTTTTTGCTTAGCTAAGAGTTCATATGCAGAACGAGAAAAGCTGCAGAAAATAACAACCTGTTTGGTACAACTTTGGATGTAACTGCCAAACAATACCCACTGGAAATTGGGGGGGGGAAAGCTTAATCGATTTACTGATGTCAAAGTATATATTATTGTGAAAAGATTATTGGCAGTATATTGGCAAATAGTGGCACAATACAAGTGCTATTTTATTTACACATTTTTCATTTTTACATAAAGTAAGTTTTTCAATATTTTAAATTATTTTACTATAATATTTAAAAAATTGGGGGTAATTATATTGATTTCTTAATTTCTGTTACAGTATTTGCTACATATCTTGTATTATAATTACATCAATATAATGGTACTTCACCATTTTTCTTTGTTAGACTCCACAAGCCTTGAGCAGTCTATGCAAATTGCATCTATGCATCTTCCTCATTGTTAGTTGGCTTGCCTCCTTCACAGAAAATTAAACTGTCTTGAAACTGAGGGTGATCATTTTAGGTTTCAGTATAATTCAATGAGCTTTTTAAAACAGCAGTGAAAAATGGTCAAGTGCCAGTATGGGTACTAGTAATGCTATAAACACTATTTTCTCAAAGTTTAATGATTCATGAAGAAATTTTCACTTATTTAATAAAGAAATGGCTTTATTATAAGAGACTCAGTATAAATTATGGATATTTTTCCTGAAATGAGAGTATACATCCAACTGTTTATGAATTGTGCATGAAAAAATGAATAAAAATAAAAACAGTCATTTAAAGGAAAGGAAACTGTTTCATATACTCATGGGATGTCTGAATACTTAACATATTTACTGAACTATTTTTTCAGCACTAATTAGTGTTGAAAAAATTAGTGTAAACATAGACACATATAACATTAGAGTAAACATAGTGACTAAATTAGTGTAAACATAAGACAGTAAGAACAAATACTAAGAATACTAAAAACATCATACCGCTGTCCTCACTTCCAACATAAAATGGTTTGGTTTTAACAGCAGCACAACCAACTACATTCACAGCTAAAGAGTAATAGCCTTCATCTACATTTAAAAATTGAACAGTCATTAAATCACTTCCAGAATCTTCAGTCACTTTAATTACATTTTCTATAGTCTTTGAATGAGCGGAGATAAGTTTAACAACATATGATGAAACATTTAAATAGCTTGGAGCTTGAGTGAATCTTACTTGCACCATATGCTTTGAAAGACTTCCATTAAAGATCATTATCAGTGGTTGCCAGTCACAAACAGAAGCTGTAAAACAAAATTAAGTTGTTTTTATTTCTCTGAAATATACTGCATTTATGAAGCATAGAGATAATTACAACAATAAATTTGGTCATTAAAGTACTGACATCCTGATATTTTGTGGTATAAAAAACAATACATAATCAATGCACACTTATTTGGTACAGTGCTGATAGCAATCTCATGATAATTTCTCTCTCACAGATTAAAACCAATGCCTAAAATTAAAAAAGAAATGTATAAAAAATCACTTATTCTATTGAGTAAAAATTAAAATATTCTGACTAATTAGTTTTAGATTGTTCTTTATTTTTCTGATCATATTCTATCTGCAAAGAAGTACAGAACTAAATCTGATATATAAAATCAATTCTGAATCTCTGCAGATATTCATACTATTTAGGGCTTTTAAAACTATTGGTACAGTTCCAGAGTTAAAACTATTGGTACAGCATTGTATCAAGTTGCTTTGATGAAATAGAAAACTGCTTTTTATATATTTATTTTATATATGAAGAAAACCATGAAAGAGATAAACACAGCCAGTACATTACCATAAAAAAATGTGTTCAAAGCAGAAATGAATACATTTTGTGATTAATTGCTAGCTTAAATAAGCATTAATAATTTAGTTTCAAAGTGATTTCAGAATAAAATTATGTAACAGCAATCTTCGAATTCATGCACTAAAAAGTACTTACTTTGAAAATGCATATGTAAAATATTCTTCAAGAAATAATACTCGCACTTTTAATTTTGTTTTACATACTGAGATATACACAGGTAGTTGTTATATCACAAATTTTAACTGTCCTAAAGAATTTAAATCAATTGTGTATTAAAGTTTTTTTATTTAATTGAAATTGTTTAGGCTAGTGATGAAAAAATTTATTTAGGCAGTAAAAGCTTTCGTTATATTATTTTCAATTTTTATGTGAAAACAAATGATTGATGGCTGTACATTTGATTCATTTTTAGGATTGAAGAATTTGAACAAATGAGTTAACAATATTTATATATTTCTGATGATATACTATTTATTTATTAATTGTTATGGACAACAGCAACTCCCAAATGCTATGACAACATCTTCTACTAGCAACCTGTAAAGAGCACTTTTGGTTTAATGCTATTTTAAATGTATTAGGATGATATTTGATCACAAATACACATAATTTCTTCAGGATTCGAACCTGAGCCTAATGTAGCAACTGGCTCCCATATATCCTATATAATGGTAGGTTTCACTAGATGGAAGGGAGATATTACCCTAAGACAGACACTTCTCGTTCCAGGCGATTCTGATTTAAATCATTTAACATTTATTTATATTCTCAGAAATACTGGTAATTTTCAGACATGGTCTCTATGTGAGGAGGTGCCTTAAAATCATAAAAATGGGTGCTTTATAAATCAGGCAAAAAAACAAAGTGCCTTAAAATCCTGAAAATTATTGACATGTTTGAATGACTTTATTTCTAAAATTTACTTGCACTGAGAGACAATTGGTATATAAAATAAAAGTACAATTTCCCCTAGTTTACCTATGAGAGATTTACGTGAAATTTTTTTTAGGTACGCAAACAGCAGAAAAACAATAATCAAAATTTTCCCATAATTGCAGTAGCATATCTATTTTTATTGTCTCCAAGCAATACGAGAGCAAATTTCAAGATCATGGAGATAAATGTGGACCACTTTAATAAAGAACAACAAAATATCTTAAATATACCTCCAGAGCGTCAAAAAGGATCTGCTGTTCTAAGGCTAAACTAACTAAATCACTGATTCAGCACAACCCATTTTCAACATGATATTTAATAACATTCTAAAACTCTGTGGTTTCATTCTTCATGTATTATATAGCTGACTTCCAATGACCAGCCTAGTACAGGGAATGGCATTCACAGTTAACTTGAAATCCCGGTTAATAGAGGTCAATTAAAAAAACATCATTTGCAAAGAGAAATAATTCCTATTACATTTAACAGAAAAATACTATTAAGTATTTACTTACATTTTCAAGCATGGCAATTATAAGCTTTTGTTATATTACTTTCAATTCTTATTCTTAGCTTTCTGATGAAGAATTGGGAATTTTTTCTGAATTTCTGGACAGGAAGCAGAGGGTTAAATTATTTGATCAGTATTCCCTAAACGGAATTTAGTGATGCTATGAACAGGAGCTACAACGAAAAAAGAGCAGTTTAAAGTTATCTTATCACTCAGCTTTTGCTGGTTTGAGATGGAAAAGCTACAGTTTGCAAAATAAATTGCACTTTCGATGCTTCAGTTGAGCCACAAGAGGTTTTGTTACTGAGAGTGTGACAGTATATTTTCCAATCATTAGTGACCATATGACATGAAGAAAAGTGGCAAACTTCTCTTTGCTGGCAATTAAAGACCGAAATAAGCTTTTCTGCTTTGAAAGATAAGGGATTGGATTTTGTTCTCACACATCTGGTGACTCATTGATAGCGGTCAAGATCACAGATTTTGTTGATGGCAGTTTTCAGGATTTGGTTATGGGAGAATTTTTATTTTATTATTTATTTATTTTTTTTTTTTTTTTCTTATTACAGCATTGGCTGCTACTAAGGCTAGAAGTGGTGGTTATTTTATTGTGGAGGCACCTAATAGGCAGCCATTGTTAAGGGAAAAGAAAAAATTCTTACAGTTGGTCAAGCATTAATTTTTAATTTTTATCTTCCAATCTATGATATTTTAATGGGTGTGGATTCGAGATTTCCTTGGAGCTTGTGCAAAAGCAGGAATAAGATTTAATTTGGTTCTTAAAGAACTAAGAAATTGAAAAAAAAAAAAAAAAAAAGAGGTGACTTTGCCCCTTGTGAGCTTGCTGCACAGGTGAGCTAAAGCCCTTTGCATTTTCTCAGTAAAAGTCCAAATAATCCCAGAAAATTTTCCTTGCAGTTTTGGGTTTTTCTTCAGCCATTCCCGGCAGCTGAAATGCATCTGGAGAATTCAGGATGTCTGCAATGACTCTCTCTTGCAACATAGTAATTGGCATATTCTTGTGGTACTGTTCTGTTGCTCGGACTGAAGTCATCGCCAAATGTCCTGCTAAACTCGCTAAGAGATTTGATTTATATGAAGTCATCAATGTTTACTTTTAAATTTGTTACAATGTTTACATTTTAAAAAAGTAAAAGAATGCATTTCAAAATTGGCAATGAGAATACAAATTCTAAAGATGTAACGGTCACTTTTATTTTTATTTTCTTGTATTTACTATGGACTTGAAAATTTGGGACTTACAAAATGATGAAACATCTTTCATACAATTTCTTTAGGAAAGAGGAATCATGTGCATGAAAAACCATAAAATGAAGCTCTACTCCAATTTAAAAAAATGGAGATGTGAAGATCTGGATTTGAACATTTCGATGTTAAACATAAGTTTATCAATTCTTATACTAGTTTTCACACTCAAACTTTTAGAAAAGTTATGGGAGAATGCAAAACAGACTTGGCACTGAATGCAACCAATTAAATTCTTATTTGAGTTAATGTGGCAGCGGCAGTGTCCTAAAATGCAAATCTTTTCAGACATTTTAAATGATATCTGCAGTTTCATGCCTCAGCATTCAATCTGATGTAATTAAATTTTCTAACCAATTTTTTTTTCTAATTTGTTTGGTAAGTTGCTTAATTTACATAAAAAATTTCTAATGTATGAATATCTGTTATGTTATTTTTCCCCTTGAATTTTTCTTTAACTAAACCATACTGTAAATATTTTGTTGAGTATTTTTATGCTTCGAATGTTTCACCAGATTGTCAGCTTTTGGTGATATCTGAATCCGGCCCCAATAACAGAACAGTACCATTCTTGTCAATACCTTATTCTCAGAATTCTCACCTCATTAGACAAGCTGCCTTAATGGCTATTCCTGTGAATTGCTTAACCCGTTCAGTATGGGCATGTCATATGTGCATCAGCAGCGAACATTACCTCATGGCCGGGCGTACCACATTTGACTTTTTAGATAGAATGTTTAATTAGTATTTTTTGTTGCCACTAGATGTAGCTGTATGTCTGTCATGGGGAATTATATCGAAAGTTAAGTATGTGTACCTTAATTTCTATGCAATGTTTTTTATTTTTGGTATTTTGTTTCGGAATGAGAGGGAGATTCGTGGGTGGGTGTTGAGCAATGTAATGTCTCTTTAACTGCGTCATTTGATATAAGCAAATGAACATGTTCTCGATGCTCTGGAATACTTTTTAATTTAATTTATTTATTTTATTTCCTTTTATTTTTTTTATCCCCATATAGTGGAGTAGATGTTCTATCATTAGAGACTTTTTTATTACTCTTAGATTTTTCCTTTAAGCATTATTATTTTTCTGGCGGAGACGAATATTTTGTATTGCTTAGCGAAAGTTTTTTTTTAATGTTCTATTGCTGGTGTTCTATTTTTTTAATGGCAAAATGAAAGCACTATCTGACCGCAGAAGATACACAAATGAGTCAAATTTGCTGATATTCTATGCCTGTGACATTTGCAAAGTTGGACTTAGCATAAACCCATGTTTCAAAGAATATCATACACTGTCTCTTTTTTGAAATATTGCTTCTTTTTCGTTGCAAAATGAATTTTATGAATACAGTTTTAATATTTTTAATTTTAATTATGTTTTGTTAAATAAAATCTGTGATTGTTTGGATATTTTTTTCCATATATATTTATTGTGGGATAAGGAAAATATTATTCTAGAGAGTATTTATAAAATTAATCCTAAGGACAACTACCTGAATGTTCTTCCTGACAACTACCTGAATGTTCTTCTCCTAATGTACCAAAAATTGGAACAATTGGATGACAAATTTAATTGATACAAATTTTTTTCCAAAGTTAGGCTTAGCAGTACAAATTGCCCGTCCCCACAAGACGACATATCCGGTTAACACGCCATCCCAAGAGAACGCTTCGGTAACAGAGGTGCCCACTATGAATGGGTTAAATGCTATTCCTGCTGGATTGAAAATTCATCGCGCTCTTATGGATCAGTGCAGGGGTCGATTCAGTGGAAGTTGTCAATGTATCTCAAACTATTGAGTGCGAGTCGATTAGAATAAAGCTGCAGCCTGGGACAACTGTGAATACCTTCCATTAAGACTTTGCAGTGCAGACTGTAGCAAGATTTTTAGGGTAAGAACTTAAATGGCATTACATGGACATCAGCTCTTGGTGGTCTAACAGAAAAATGGACTGGTATTCTCCCCACTGCGAGTATTTCCTCCCCATTATATTTTGACAAGTGAGGATAATTTTTACTTTACCTGAAATTAATTAGTTCAAAAGGAATTCTACATTTTATACTTAATAAAAAGGAATAGAAATTGTTGTTTAAATTACCTAAAATAGTGAATCTTGTAATGGAAAAGGAGTTAAAGTACCACTGAATTAATAATTGTAGAAAATATTTCTGAGGACTGCCATTTAATACATTGCTAAATGTTAAAAAATGCATCAGTTTTTTTTTTTTTTTTTATTATTTATTTTATTTATTTTTTTTTTTTTTTCTTAAGAAAGCAGTTGGTATGTCCCATAATTAAATTGTGAGTGCTGAATTAAGATAATGTTTTTGTTAAAAACTGGCCAGTTATCCCAATTACATGAATACTTATTTAATGTAGAAAATTAAGTAATGCGTTTATAATAGTGTCCTCTTGTATATACGTATTATTATTTAATGGTCTATTACATTCCCTCTATATGTTTGACCGAGAGGTTCTAGAAGCATGAATTCTACAAGAGTTTGGGCTTTTTTTATAAAAACACAATGCAAAACATGCTAGCCACTTGCTTAGATAATTTATTGAGAAATTTTGATAATTTCAGAGTATCAAGGAAATCAAAAAACTATTACTGAATTTATTGATTTATTGATATGTATGGATATTTCTTCCTTGGTACTTTTATGAGGCTGTTATTGAGTGTTTAGTTGCAGTGAATTAATGTTATAGCACTTTTAAGAGAGATAGCATTTTTATGTGATATGGAAATGGATTAGTATCACATTATTTGGGAAAAATATAAGTTTTTGATTTTGAGCACCAGCAAAGATTTATTCCTCTTTACTTTCAGAGTCTGAATTTGAATTGAGGAACTCTTAAAAAAGTTATGTCACTATTGGTTACACAAGCATAGGGTTGGGAACCCCTACTATATACAGTGATACTCACAAAATTTAAGTAGAGGCTGAAATATTTGTTGTCATGTAGAATAATATAAAATACTGCCATGCATCAGCAATTAACAAAATAATTTTATGAAATTATCTCTAATATTTTGTAAAAATGTTACCTCTATCAATGCATGCATGTTTGTCCACAACAATGATCTAACCATCCTTATCCAGCTTTGGAAATAATAATGTTAGGATTAGAATGAATTTAACATAATGCCTTCTTCTCTTTCCATTAAGATTAGAAAACAAACAATTTCTTATTGAAATCAATGCTGTGAGTAATTAAGCAGTGGATTTTATCATTTCTGCACTTCCAAAACTTCGCTGAATGTAAAATGTTTTTTTAATAGGAGCTATGAATTATATGAACTACAGGTTTACATGTTTGGAAAAAGTTATATTTTAATACTCTTATCTGATCCTCTGAGATATTAACAGCATAATTAGTATTCCAAGTTGGAAGATTATCAGATTGGGTAGGGCTAGATGATTGAGGTGTGAGATTTTGGAATTTAAAGGCAAGAGATTTTTTATAGCACTGTCAAATAGTTTCATTCAATTGGCAGATGAAAAATTAGAAGTTGAATTGGCAGTTTTCAATTAAAGATGGTATATTTTATGCTCAATTTTAGAGAAGCATTTATGTGTGTTTCTTATAATGTGATGAAGAAGTGACAATTTGAATATATATATATATATATCAGGCCCCTTCAGGCTTCTAACTGCATTTCTAAAGTCAAAAATTCTGCACATATTTTTTTGCTTGAAATCATCAGTTATTAACACAATGAATCCTTCAATACCTACAATGAAGAAAATCAAATGTAATATAATCCAAAACATGGAACTACCACATGCTAATTAAAAAGTAATTTACAATATTTTTAAAGTATATAAAGGAATTTTGTATTAAAAATAAGTGACAAATTTTTAACATATATAAAGGAACAAGGAATTCTCTTTTTTAAAAAAAAATATTGTTGAATATATATATACACTGGTGTGCAAAAATTAAGGACGAAATCGAAAAATTAGCATATCAGCTGAACGAAGAGGCAGAGCGGACAGAAAGACCAATCAGGATTAAGTAGGTGATGTACGGTAGCACATGCGCAGATATGCAGGTAGACGTAATGGGGGAGTGTCTGAGTAGTATAAAGCATGTTGTCGGTGTAAAATCAATATTTCTGGCAAAGAGATTGCACGCCGTTGCAGTTTAAAATCACACCGAGTTGCTGCCTCAGCGAGAAAATGGCGAATAATCAATCTGTTAGACAACATATGGATGCTTTTACCTGAGGTCGAATCATTGGGAAGTTGGAGGAAGGCCGCAGTGTGACAAGTGTGGCTGCAGAGTTCGGAATTGCTCACAGCATCGTTTCACGACTTTCAATTTCAAACATTTTTCAAACTACAGGAACAGCTATCCGGGGGTTCAGTAGTGGTCGTCAATGAGGAACCACACCCGCAGATGACCGGTATATTGCCTTACAGGCCAGAAGAAACAGGCGGCAGACAGTGGGAGAAATCGCTAGACACATGACACAGGCGACTGAACGACCAATATCGCGTTTTACCATGGCCAGAAGACTGCACGGTGGTGGTCTGTTTCCACGACGCCTGTACGTGTGTACCTCTAACGCCCCCCAGGGAGGAGAAGGCTCTCTGTGGTGGAGGGAACACGGAATTGGAGAGAGAGACAATGAATGGGTGAGTACTCTTTACAGATGAGAGCCGATTCAGTCTGAGATTCTATCGCATACTCATGGATAGAGCGGGGAAGGGCAATCCCCTCGAACAATCATGAAAGGAACAGGTATGGAGGTGGCGGTGTTCTCGTTTGGGGAGGCATCATGCTTGGAGTCTACAGACCGTCACATCTTTGACGCAGGTTCAGTCAACGGGACCCGTTATTGTAACGAGATTCTTCTTCCTATGTGCGTCTTTTTAGAGGTGCTATGGGTCCGCAGTTCCTTTTCATGGACGACAATGCACCATGTCATCGCACAGTAGCTGCCGAACAGCTCTTAGAGAGTGAGGATATTGAACGTATGAATTGGCCGACACGATCTCCGGATTTCAATCCCATCAAGCATGTATGGGATTTTCTAGGCAGACGCTTGGCAGCTTGTACCTTACCACCAGTAACGATTACGGAGCTTCGATTGGCACTGCAAGACGAATGGGAAGCAATGCCTCAACCAACTCATGACACCCTCATTCTCAGCATGGGCAGATGCTGTGAAACCTGCCTAGCAGTCAGGGGAGATCATATCCCCTATAAAGACGGATGTTTCTTGCTGGGACACCCATCACGGGACTTTTCAGCCTTCAGTCGCATTGCTCCATGCTACTTTTTCAATAAGCTTCTTTTTATCCCTCTGATTTCTCTTTTAGTAAGTGTTGCTTACATTACTCATGTCCTTACATATTGGGGATTTACGGTATTAAATGTGTTGATTTGGAAAGCTTTTGTACAAAGTTATATTGAAAAAAATGTCTTGTCCTTAATTTTTGCACCCAGTGTTATATATGTAAAATAAAAAAAATATGATGGCTTGCTCTTGTGAACCAGCATCCTTTAATTAATTTCGCAATCAGGATCGTCCCCTAACCCAGTACCTGCTAGAACATTCACGCCTATTACATAACCTCCTCATATAAATGCTGCGTCATAAGTTTTTACCTTTTTCTAGAAGCTACTCTGTTAATAACCTTTCATTAAATGCTGCGTCATAAGTTCTCCTAGACAGATGTTTCTCGCCTTCGTCCTCTAACGCTTCGCTATGCTCCTCTTCTTTGTTAGATGTTGTGATGTATTAAAGTTTAAAGTCAGTCGTATCTAATATTCAATTACTGAATAAGTATTGATTAACTTCATCTGGAAAAAGTCATCTGCTAAATTAAAATAAAGATATGCTTGTGCTAAAAGGAAAGTCCTGAGCGCATTTTTCTCGGGATTCAATCATCCCAGCTTTTTTTTTTTTTTTTTTTTTTTTTTTTTTTACATTTGCTAGTTACTTTAACTTTCTCTTAAAAAGGCTTTCTCTGTCGCTACGCCTTTTCTTTTTGAAGGGGGGAATATGTAAGAAAAAAATATATGAATCAGAATTATAATATAACTATAAACATTAATTCTTCCTCTCTATTCTAAAATCGTAATAACTTATCTGCATTGCGTCATTTCTAGATCACTCTATGGCCCGCGCAACTCGGATGGCGTAATAATTAAGAACTGAAACTGTCCTTGTAAACCAAAACTTTTCTCTTCGCGTGCCTCCATCTTGCATAACTAAGCACTTCAGCTTTTGCTCTCTACTGTGCTAAGATGTAATTTCGCTGGCTTGCTTTCTATCCCAACAATATCAAAAATGTAAATCTTCTGTGGAAAGGCATGACTAGAGTGCCAAGTGATTGTGGCCACAAATATCAATTGGAAATAAAAATGGAAGTAAAACTGCCTCGACTGCCAAGTTCTTTAAATACTACGCAATCAAAATGCTTCTTCAATATGGATCTAAGCACGCATCTACAGTGTTCCGTCTTTTCCTTTTCCTTTGCTCTTATTATGACATATATATGTAAAATATATAAAAAAAAAATACGATGGCTTTGCTCTTTGCGAACCAGCAACCTTTAATTACTTTTCTGCAATTCAGGATCGTCCCCTAACCCAGTTCCTGCTAGAACATTCACACCTATTACATAACCTCCTCATATAAATGCTGCGTCATAAGTTTTTCTACATTTTTCTAGAAGCTACTCTGTTACATAACCTTTCATATAAATGCTGCGTCATAAGTTCTCCTACACAGATGCCTTCTCGCCTTCATTCTGCTAACTCCTCTGCTATGCTCCTCTTTCTTTGTTAGAATGTTATAACATAAAGACAGTCATATCTAATAATTCAATTACTGAATACTGCTCTAAAATAAAATAAAGATATGCTGTTAAAAGTGAAAAGTCCTGAGTCGTCATTTTTCTCTGTGCTTCAATCATTATAGCTTCGTCAACCATCTGCCAGAACGTGTAATGGAATAGCCTCACCATTCGCCCACGATGTGTTGGAATAATGAAAACATTACATATATATATATGCGTGTGCGTCAAATGAAATAAATATCTTTTCACTGATACTGTTCATTACAAATTAATTTATAATAATTTTGCAGCTGCTACATTTATTTAGAATAATTTCACATTTATTTCTCTGAGTGACATGAACACTTGAATCTAGTCAAGAGATTTTTTGTAACTTTGTATAAATTAAACTATTATTTAAAATATTTTGGTACCTTCTGATTATCAGCATTCCCCTTCCCAAAAAGTCACTAAACATTGGCTACTAATTTTTTGCCAAACCAAGTTGAGAAAGAAACAGACATTTTCAAAAATGGTTTTATGTAAAAATGACATAAAACCATCAATTAACAAAATAAAAAAAAAATTAAAGAAGCATCTAGAATATTTTTTTTTTCCGGGAGCGTTGTTCTTTCTGTGTACACAGAAATCTTGTTTCAGCTTCAAAAAACATTAGAGAATTTCACAAATTGCAAAAAATGCATGAAAATTTCTGAAGAAATGCAGTGTTTCCTTTTTCATCAGCCAGAAAACTCCACAACCACATTATGATTTCTTTCAAGGAAAAGAAAAAGGACTTGGATGCAACAAAAACTAACACCACATAAATACATGTTGGCGACCTTCATGGATTGCCTATTTTGGTGACATAATGCAATACTTCATGAATATTTTTCGGGGTGGGGGAATAATAAAAAAAGTACCAATATTTTTATTGAATTCTTTAACTATTAAAACATCATTCTAAAGAATGAAAGGCTATTAAAACAAAAAGCAAGATTCTGAAAATTTAGCCAAAATATTTCAGAATCATATTTTATACATTACATAATCTTGTTCTTAAAAAAGAAGAATTTTTAAGAACAATCTTTTAAAGAAATAGAAAATATCTAATTTACTCGAGAATAAGATCTCCCCCCCAATATCGTTACATCGTCCCCTAAAATTTGGCAGGTTCTCATAGCTAGGTATTCTGATGAATGTAATTTCAGAACAGGATGGAGGGTCTCATAATTAGGCATTCAGATGAATGAAATTTCAGGATGGAAGGATAATTTAGGAAAGACATTCATCACCTTACTATAAAAAAAGTACACCACATATGTTTAATACTAAATAAACCACATATGTAATTACCATATATATAAATCACATAACTACTGCTCATTACATTAGCCACATCTAATTAGTGATTTTAGTTTAAGCATGTATCCATTATTATGAATAATGCTATGCTTGAAAACAAAAAGGTAACAATCTATATCATTTCTTAAAATTTATCTTAAAATGTAAGAAATGCCTTGTTTTCAATTAAATATACTACAATTTTAATATCAATAAAAATTTTTATACTTTATTTAATACTTTTTATTTTTATTTCTATTTCAAATTATTTAGATTCACATGACAATATGAATTAAGATGTTCACTGTCATCTATGAAAATTGAGTTTACTTGTCAGCAATGAAATAATTCATTACTGATTACCTAACCTAAATCATCTAGTACAAGCACTGCCATAACAAATGCATGCAAAGTTTAGATGTTTAGTGTACAGCAGGAGACTAATAACTTGTCATACTGAAAGGGATCCTTTACTTTTCAAAATGTAAATACAATAATTAAATATTTAAAATGCAAAACTTGTTTTTTGATTATTCAATGGGAAAACATTATAAACAGACTAATCAAATTCTTGTTTAATATCAAACACAGGACTAACAGAAAATTACTTATCACACTAGTAGAAGTTTAGCATGAATACAGAATGGATGAGTGTTGTTAATCTAGTTCAGAGTTATCTCGTAGAAGGCACAGGAAGCAAAAATATTTTTGTATGCCAACTGCAGGTATAATCATATGAATTTATTTATATATAAAAGTAATCCATTATATCTAGATTGAAATAATGAAACACCAGGCAAATAATTTTAAAGCATAAAAATGCAGATAGAGTTTTGGCATGTGTGAACAGACCAACTATATCAGCTTTGGCAGCGAATGTGTTAAATTCTACAGAAATAACTTACCCACTTCAAATTTATTACTGCATTTTTACATACTTAATCCTTTCCAGGAGAGATAAATTTTTAACATAATGTGGAACCAATTATACACAAAAAGTTCATATAGACCTTTTATATACAAATGAAATTGCCCCTACAACATGTCTCTAAAATTAACGAGCAATCAGAATACTTGCAAAAAATCTTGACTCAACCTATTCCTCTCTTTGGACCACTGGCTTCACATAAGGGAAATTAATCCTTCATGTCATCTTTTCATTATGTATTGGTATTTCAAAACAAGATTTTACAATCATCAGTAACTCAGGATGATTTGCAGCATTATCACCAGCTCACATTTTACATAATTTAGCAGAAAGGAAAGACCTCGATAAATTTTATTTTTCTTTGCAAATTTTGAACTATTCATATTAATATGAGTAAGAAGTTTCCTCGAACTAATAACATGATTAAGTACATAAGATATAAAGGGAGACTGGTAAATAAATGACGGAACTTCTCGCATTCCTTTTCATATCACTCTCCTCCACTTGTGACAATTTCCTTACTTTGAGAGATGCAAATCTGGAGGCTAACCAAATTGGCCAATTAATTGTTTTGACATTGAACATTTTCAGTTGCACCTCAATCACAGATGTGCCTTCTCTCTGTAATTTATCAACAACATTTGGAACATACTCAAACAGAAATGGAAAAATTACGTCTATTTTTCGAAGTTTTTTTTTTTTTTTTTTAATGCTCTAATCATAATACATAATTTAAAGTAAAGCCATGGTTTAAACTAAGACAATGATACCACCAACAATAACACACACACAAAAAGAGGTCTATGCTGAGAGCATTTCAATCAATCTTCCAATAACAGGAAATATGAAATCTGCATACTGATGCAATGCTATTTTTATATTTTACACCCACAAATTTGCAAACAAACTTTTATTAATTCATTCTTACTGTTTATGATGAGAAATAGTAGGAATTCTTCAAAGTAATGGGCATTTAATATGACTGATATAATCATCATATTAATATGACTGATTAATATCAAGTGAATCCATTCCATGATGTAACCAATTATTAAAAACAGTTATTAAATAGTTATTTCAAAAATGCTAAATGCATTCAGAAATAACTATGGAAAAAGCTGTGATAATTCTGGACACCATACAATACCTTCTTGAAAAATTGTAAATGTTATATTTATAGCTGACACAGGTAATCCTTTCTGCAGTTGTAACAATTCTGCAGCATATGGAATAATAGAAACAGAAAATGGAGCAGCAAATTCAGATGCCAGTTTAGTTACTGGGGCTTGGGTCCAATTAGAAAAATCAAAGTTTCTGCATGCTAAATTTATTTTTAAAAAAGAAAAAAACAGTGTTAAAACTTAACTAAATATAAAATACTTACATATATCATATAAAATAACAAATCATTGCTACTATAACAGAATTAAAAACTGTATATTAGAATTTTTTAAAAAATGAACAGATATTGCCCCAACTACATTTTTATACAAAATATGGTAAGAAAGGAACTGAATGGATACTTTACAATTAAAATCATATCACATATTTTTGGGGCCACACTGTTGCATTCTGCCTTATTTCTTACCCCACATCTTTGGCTCAATAATAAATAAATGAAACAATTAGGAACAGAAATAAAGTATATTCTCTAATTTCCTGACAAAATCTTCTTCCATAAGCCTATGGTGGAGAAAGAACATAGCCGATCTTATTGTCTTCTTTTTTTGAATAAGTTTTCCCCACTTTCCATAGTTTTGTTGCATCCATCAGCTTTTAATATTGGAACAAGATAACAAGGACTTGGTACACACTTCTCTTATATAATTATTTCATTCAACCTTCATGTTGCAATTCATTCGAAGTAAGCTTTGGTTTACAAAGCTCAATAATCTTAACATTTGATACCGTGAAATGACTCATATGGCAGTAATGAAAGGAATGCATGACACAATAAATTATGTTTGTGTTCAGACGCTTTTTTTCTTTCTACCATGAGTAAAGGTTGCATCACCATTTTGTGTTTGAGTAACATTTTAATATTATTCAAAGACAATCTTTCTCTTTGTGAAAAACATTTTTTTTTTTTTTTCTTTTTAGAAGGAACCAAATAGCTGCTTCTTCATGTCTTGCCAATTCCTGAATCATGGAAATCACTGAAGCGATAAACAATTCATCTAGGAAAGAAGCCAGGCCAAAATAAACAAAGTTAAGCTGAAAAGAGTCATTGAATGTTTAAATAAATATGCAACTATGCAAAAAAATAAGTAAATTGCAAAGTATAACAGTATATCAAATTCTCAGTTTTTTTATGTACATATAAGGTAGTCTACACAAAAGTAGCCCACCACTGATGATACTATAACAAGATAAACACAATCTTTCTAATGCAGTGTGCACAGGAGTAAACAAGAAGATGAAATAAAGCTGAAACACTTGTTTTATTTGGCAATACAAAGTCACCAGACAGGGGCAATCAGCAGACAGAGAACAAGAGATCATACCCTCCTCCAAAGAGTGTAGTACTCATATTGAAGATGGGAAAATTTTTCATGGACCAGACAGTACAAATACATATATATATATATATGTGTTAAAATAAGTTACTTATAGGCAATAATCCAAATAAAATTAAAAGTATTTTTAACAAATACTATTAATGGAAAACTGAAAAACAAAACGAAATAAGAATAATAATCCAAAGTTTATAAGCAAAATTCAGGAAGCTTCTGTACAGAAAACTACCAAGCAGAATTAATTAAGCAGTGATTGCCTATTTGCAGCCTAATCACCAGAATACAACAATGACATACAGAGACTTGGCTTTTAGTCTTATCTCAGCAGGGCAAAGCTGAAGTCCCTTAGTTATTCAAATACATAAAGTATTGCTTCAGTGTGAAGCCTATAATAGGCCTACTCTGTGGTGGATGCCAACTCAGAGTGATATTCCAGGAAATGAGCAGGCAAATATCATTGAAGAGAATGTGCCTAATAATCCATCCCTTCTGGAGCATCCTTTTTCATTTCTAGTCACATTTTCTGATACAGTCCACCACTAAATATCTCTTTGCACAGTGGAAGGAACGCTAGGATTCAGTTGCGACAGGCAGGTGTACCCATTGGCTGATGCCAAAAGTTAGAACAGAACTGCAAACTGATAAAGCAACATTCACTCAATTTCTCCACACAGCCCCTTTCTGTCCTATCCAAGTTGATTTGGGCATAGTGACATAGACATCTGTGACTGTCAAATACTGATCACTACATATTTGGATGTTCCTTTATTTGAGTCCATCATCTCAAATTAATGGCTCCTGAACACTGTATGGCTTAGACACAGAATACACTATCTGATAAAATTGCTGAGCTTAGAAATGGAAAAGCTATTAATTACTATGTTTCCAATGCCAGAACTTCTCATCGTCAATAAAGGAAAAGTATATATCTACTTTTGCATATTTAGCATCATTTTTTATTATTATTTAATTTGCTCCATGTAATATTATGCATTTTTTGTAATATGCATTATTATGTATGCACTGTGTGTTGTAATGTAGGTATTTGTATGTTAATATGCATTTTATTTTGTACATTTATTATTATTTTTTGCATAATTATTTTGTTCTCTATTTCACATGTGTTGTATCATAGTTGCAATGCACATACAAATTTGTTCTTAAGTACTCTTTTATGTTGATTTATAATGTATTTTTGTATATATCTTGATGCTAGGTAAATATCTATAACAAACATGCTGATAATATTCTACTTAAAAATATGCATAATGGTATATATCGTAAATGTAGTCAATAAAAATTAATGATATTGATAATGATGATTATGTTCAATTTGTAATACCACTGTTATGTAACAATGGAAAACCTATGCATGTAATTTTTTATGCTCTCTCTCTTTTTTGTCTTTCTTTTTTTATCCAATAAATTTTTTTAGCAGAATGACATTTAACTTCACACAGCTTGACCTAAGAAGAATGTCATCTTAGTTGTATATTGTACAGAAAACTTATCAAATTGCTTTTCAAATTAAATAGCATTTACATTTAAAAATTCCTGGACAAAACTTGTGTTTTAAACCACGTTTTCTTCTTCTCTTCTTCATTGACTCGACAGCTCAGTGTGAGCCCTGGTCTTCTCCAGCCATCTCTGCTTTTGGCAATTGTTTTCCAGTTTTTTACTTTCAGAATGTTTAGGTCATTTTCAGCATAACTTATCCATCTCACCAGGGCTCTACCCCAAGGTCTGGTTCCATGGGCTTTGCTAGGAAAATTTTCTTACAGCACCGATCTTCATGCATTCTGGCCAGATGACCACCCTATTTAAGTCTCTGTAGTTTGAAGAATTCTACTACATCAGGTTTTATATAGATCTTGTATAACTCTAAATTAGATCTTCTCCATAATCCATTCATACAGACTTAACCAAGTATCCCCAAAGCTTCCTAATCACATAAAGTTAGTGCCCAATCTTCCGATGCATATGTCATAACAGATCTTATAAGGCTCTTGTAAAGAAGTAATTTATTTCTTAACTTCAGAAAGCTGGATTTTAAATAACTCTTCAGGCCATAAAAATATCTTTTTGAAGCAGAAATTCTTTTTTCAAAAGTTATCTCATTTTTATAATATATCTCCTCTCCCAAATATGTGAAACTATAGGCTGGTTCAAATCTATAGCTATAATTTCTAAATGATTAAGTGGTAGGTCAGATTTTAAACAAGGCATATATTTAGTCTTATTTTTCGTGAACAGAAAGGTAAAATCTTTTTGCACTTTTTTCAATGCCATGAATGCTTGTTTAAGAGTAGGAGAAGCAGCACCAGCAACAATGCAAATATCATCTGCATAAGCCAGTAATTGAATAGTCTTTAATATAAATATTTCCTTTAGAGTTTTTTATAATTTTTTCAAGTGCAATATTAAATAGGAAGCCTGCCAATGCATCCCCCTGCGTTATTCTATTTTTGACCTCAAGTTGTCCGCTAAGGTCACCTTGTAAAAGAAATTTGTTTTCTTGGTATCCTTAAGAGTCAAAGCCACCAGTATAACAAGCTTTTCTGGCATATTTAAATCATGCATGATTTTATTGAGTAATTTCATATTAATGCAATCAGCAATCATACACAGTTCTAAAACTGATAAAAAGATTATGTGTTTTGATTCCAAATTCTATGCATTTTTCAAAAATATGCCCTAGACTGAAAATCTGCTCAGTAGTCAATCTTCCACTCCTAAAGCTGTTTTAACCGCTTCTCATTTCAATTAATTTCAGAAAACCATTCCAAAATTGCTTATTTCTTATTACAGAATTTGAAAGCACACTTATAAAATAAATTATATACATAGAGAGAGAGGAATTACAGTTATGCTTGTAATGCTGCTTTTTTTTTTTTTTTTTTTTTTTTTTTTTTTTTTGCATACATATAAGCTTACTTTACATAAAGTCCCCCTGTTGTAATGTTGGCTTTTTTGACACATGCACATAGTAATCCACGTTTTACATAGCATTACATTTCATATTTATTTCACATCTGAAAATTTTAGCTATAACTTAATAAATCATCTTCATATGGTCTATTTTAAAATGAGAGAATGGTGCAGGAAGGATATTTTGTGGTATATTTTAAAGCAAGAAATGAACAAAAAAACTTAACTTACTGTATGTTTTTAATAATAAAAATTATATAAGTTTATTAATTTACAAATCAAATTATTTAGCAACTGTGACAGAATGTATTTGTAAGGAAGCAGATGATTCATTACAAATTCAAGAGAAAAAAAAAACACCTCAGTATTATGGTCAGATAATGCCGTTTAGAAACAGTAAACTAAAATAAATAATAAGGATAGTCAAAAACTTAAACTAAAATAAATAATAAGGATAGTCAAAAACTAAAACTAAAATGACAGTAAGTTGTGCAAAAACAGGTTGCCCATATGACATACAGGCAAAACTGTTAAGCAGTCAATTAACATTTAAAAATAACTTAAAATGATAAACAATTTTATTAATTGTAGAAGACATTTTATACCTGGCACGAGGGGAGAATTGAAATCATGCTGGCATAATGACTAGCAACTTGGAGAACTGCATTCACAGTTTAAAAAATACATATTGCTTTATGAATATTCTGATAAGTATCTTAAAAATAATAATTATAGTACTTGATAAGTTATAGTTTTAAAATGTTCTTACAATTTACCTTAAAAAAAGGGTATGACCTAACTATCTGATGAAGCTTAGTAATTTTGATATACATTTCCTTGAACAGCATGACAAATAAAATTTGATAATGATGTAGTATGTGATCTATCACTTTTAGTTAGTTGGATTCAGAGCTATAGTTTGAACTGAGTTGAGATTTATAATTACTGCTATTTTTCTATGTATTTGCTAAAAGATAAGTTGGTAGCTTACAAGAGGAAATAATTTTGAGAATTCAATGACTTTCAATAAGACTATTTAGAATATCATTCATCCATTACATTTATTAACGTATGATTATCTCAAGGAGGCTGGACTTATATGCATTTGAAACTTACATTATAAAAAATGGCTAATGCTTATAAATTGTGCTTTAATCATTAAAATAAAATAACAATTCACTTCAAAATTATTTAAAGCATTTTACAAGTAACTATTCAAGATAAGCATATTTTTAGAAGCAATAGATTGCATACTACAATATTATTTAATTTAATATTATCTAATATAAAAGATGCACTTTTTAATCTTAAGACCCTAAAAATTATGAAAGCCAATAATAAAAATGAAAATTATAATGAAATTTTACCTGCTGTGTTATAAACTACACAACTTTCTTCAGGTGCATCAGCAATCTAAAATAAATCACACTTTTAGCATTATAGTATAAAAATGAAATCATAAAATGTACTGTTTGAACATAAACAGACAGGATATAAAAGTAGACCAGCCCTCAAAACTTCTTAAACTGATAAACATTTTTACCAGTCTTGAGCTACTAAAATAGCCCTTTAAATATACAGTTTTTATATACATAAGTGGATGCCGCTCTTAAAAGAAAAAAGGTTATAAGCAGCAGGATTTGAAAAGCAATTATTGTGCAGGGAAGATTTTTCCCCCAGAGTTGGAAAGAGATGGCACTAGTTGCTTTACAGTAGTTATGTGGTTAATGTAATTTTGCAGATGCATCAGAAAGAATGCAGTGGCAAAACATTCAGAAAATAAATTATATATATAGAGAGAGAAAAATTACAGTTATGCCTGTAATGCTGGTTTTTTTGCATACATATAAGCTTACTTTACATAAAGTCACATTTGAAGTGTCACACATGTCTAAATCACATGTAAGCTGTGATTCATTTCTTATGGGCAAAGAATGTGTTCATATTTGAAATTTAATGTAATTTTGCAGATGTGGGAAGTCTGGTACCACCTCCCATACAGCCCAAACTTTATATTCGGTGACTCTTTTTCTTTTTGTCTTTTTTCTGAAACTGAAGCAACACTTGCCTCGAACAGGCTTCTCTTCAGAAGAAGCATTCTGAACAGGCTTCACTCCATTATGCTAGTTTAACCCTTTGAAGGGCACTGGTATATAAAATATACTGATTGCTTGTCAATTTTTTAACCTCCTAAAAAATGCTAATTTTTCAACACCAAAAGCTATAATCTTAAGTTTCTAGTGTGTCCTTTCAATTCTAAATGGCAGCACCAAGCTATGAATGTTCAATAGTTAGCAGTTATGAAATTAATACAGTACAAAGTTTTTAATCCGGTACAAAGTTTTTACTTCAGCGATTCTGGATTAGGGGTTTTTCCGGATTATAGATCATCAATTTAAATCTGGTAAGATGGCATGCAGAAATTATAAAATTAAAAATATGAAACCATAATTTATGAAATAAAGAGCAATTATGATCTAAAAAGTATCAAAATTTACAAAAAAAAAAAAGCTTAATATTTATTTGTTTACTTTATTAAACATTTCTTTCAATGTAAGTTGTTTTGTTTACTGTGCTAATACTTCCTCTATAATTCTATAAACAGACATAATTTCTTGTTCAGTTACAAAGTCCCGCCGTTCAAGTCCTGTAATTGCTGTGCCGAGAATACCGACTAACTTGACAATCGAAATTTTTTCGTTTTCGCTAACCTCTCTGTCACTTTCCTAGGTACAACTCTGATATACGCCCTAATTTCACCAAATGTGGCGATATGTGTTCTGCGCTGGTTTGGGGCATGATTGCATGTTGTATGGCAACCCTGTTGAAGTTGAAAAATCTTTTGCTGGAGCTTGTTGGTTTGCGGAGATAAGGGGGAAAGATATAATGGTGGAAGTTGTTCAATTGAAGTTTGGCAAAAGGAAATATCTTGGCCATCCTGTTGAGGGGCAGTGGGTCTGGGAGATTATTTTTAGTGGCTGTGCATGATAGAAGTAGGGATTTGTGATTTTATTTATTTGTAAACCATAGTATGAATTTTCTGGATAGTGTGCCTGGCTGTCATATAAATACGATAGTGATTACGTGGTGGCATGTTAAAGGCGGTATGAAATTGGTATTTCTGCTGTTCAAAAAAGCATTAATTCATGGTAAGTGCATTTTATTTTATTCTTGCTCTTATTTTGTAGAATGTTATATTTATTGTTTTTTTAGTATGAATTTCTGTCGTTATTGTTGTTTTTTTTGAATTGTTTGAAATTTATTTTAGCTTATTTTGTTGATTAGTGGATAACGTCTAGATTGTGCAATTCGTAGATGTTTTTTAAAGTTGAAATAGAACGCTGTGTACATGGTATTCTTTGCAATTTATTGTTGTTATGTTAATTTATTAAAGCAAGGTGTGCATAGTTTGTAGATTCGTCTATTGCCTAGATTGTGCAATTCGTAGATGTTTTTTTAAGTTATAACATATCTCTGTATACATGGATTCTTGTCAAATATTTTTGGTTAGAAACTTTACATTTTTGCTATCTAAATTTTTTTTTTGTTTCAGATTTTTAGCTTAAATTGTGTGTTCAAAAAGTGGTTTTTGCATGTGCGAAAACCGTGTTTTTGGAGACATTTTAGGCTTAAAGTTCGAAATGTAGACAAAAAATTTAGATGGTAATAAGGCAGCGTGGGCAAGAAGTTTGGTGATTTGAGGGCGCATATCAGAGTGGTTCCCTTTCTTCATGCATTTATCCATTTTTTGCAGCAATTCCACTTTTTGTTTGATGGACATCGAAACATGCTTTCGCTTTGTAGATCCTTTGGCAGCTCCAGAATCGGAAACTTTTTTTGACATAATCGAAAGTTCAAGCTTACTTTTTATAAAATTGCTCTAACAGTCTGCAAAAAATAATAAGCCGGATCCAATTAGAAGATTAAGGAACAACGCAATCTGCAACATTAACTGAAATAGATAATTAGATAATTTTAGCCTAGCTTATACCGTCCGTTATACATTAAATGCGCATGCGTAAACGTATTATGCACATGCATAAATGCATATGCATGCGTAAAGGTATTATGCACATGCATAAACGCTACACATGCGCAGAAAGATTGTAGCTTTGAGGTCCGGTTTATAGATCATTCCGGATTATGGATGTCCGGATTAAAGACTTTGTACTGTATACTTCGTTCCAAGGTATCATGTTTGAAGATTGATAAATTCTATTGGAGGGAAAGAAAAAATCCAAAATCTGCAAATATACAACATACACATGCTGAATCTTATATATTTACTTCATTTCAGTCAGAAAGTGATAATTAAACAGAAGATTATTAAACGGTTTTAAAATTGTTTAAATTATAAATATATATATATAATATATATACCGGTATATAATATATACCGGTGCCCACACTGGGGTACCACACCAATAGATGGCAGCACCAGTCTTCTCCTTTACTGCTCTGTGACATGAGAGAATTTCTTTATTATTATAACAGTTTATGATGTAATAATTTTTCATGATTAATTTATAAGTTGTTTAGGATTCACTGTGTTCGTGAAGGGATGGGGGGTTTACTGACCCTGCACTAGGACTGAATACAAGTATATTAGTTTCATGTATTCTTACTCAGCTCAAGTTTCATTCATCTGTGTTTAACTAAAATTTTTTTTTCAGCACTTATCCCTTTCCCAAGAGAAAGACTCATCGATTTCAAAATTGCCGTCAGTGGTAAAAACTTTACACAATTGTGGGGGTTAAATGTGGTATGTTAGCCCCCAAAAGACACCCATTGCTTCGTGTTTTCCAAAATCTTAGAATGCAAAGAAAATGTAAAGAAGTGATTGACAACTAATTTGTCATTCGGTAGTCATGCCTTCTTCCCTTTGTGTGGTGTGATAAGATCACACAAAGGGAAAGCTCACTTAAAATGGAAATGCACTTTAGGTCCATCTCATACTGTAATAACAAAAACTGCTGATTTGAAAGCATGTTTTTATTCTTTAGAGAAATTCTTTGTTGATTTAAGATGAAAGACTAGAGAACACAAGAGAAATTTGCCCTCTGGTTGATACAAATAGGTTGTGTCCGAAATAAATTTTCACAGTTGGTGAAAGAATATTTCTAAAGCCCTTTTTAGATGCACACTAAAATTTATCCAAGAGTTGAAAAGAAGCCCCTAGGAAGCCAAAGGGGTTGAAAATCGAAATAAGAGCTTTGAGGTGTATCAAATAATAAAATTATTTAACGGCATTTCTTTCTGAACAAAAAGATATATTGCAACCTATATTTACAAAAAATAAAAAAGGGACCCTTACGGTCTTTGATGATCTAGTGTGTGTGCGTGGAGGGGAGGGGGCAATTTTTCATATCATAGCATGAAGCATGGTTTTTTCACATATTATCTAAAGCATAAAATATAACTTCAAAAATGCAACATACTTTCTCAGCTGAGTCAAAGCGTTTCATTTTTCAATTTTTAAAATTTTCGGCCGAGTTATATCTGCTTGTAATATTATACTAGTTCAGTTACAGCATGATACAATTCACGCATGCAGTGTTATATTTGCTATTTTTTTTTATAAAATAATAATATTGACTTTAAATCAAGTTGAAAAGTTTTTTACTCATATTTTACATAAGTATATTCAGCTGGGTTGCATCATCAAAGTGCATAAAAACATAAATTTTATTTTTAAAATTTTAAATTTCTACGGAAATTTTAAAAGTTTTTCTCTTCAGACTTACATAACTATATTCAAGCACTCATCTCTACAGATGCACATCAAAAATTAATTTAAAAAAACAAAAATTACGAAAAATTAATTTAAAAAAAACAAAAATTACAAATTGGCAGCTACCTGGAAAAAAATGTCTTGGGCACCGGTATAAAAGGATTTCGCTCTAGATTTTTTTAAGTCTCAATTTTGTGTCCTTAGGGTCTATAAGTTATAGTTCATGCAAAATTTTACCACAATTTAAATTATTTTATATACTGCCCCTCAAAGGGTTAAACAAGTTGGTCCTGTGTTGATAAATACTGACATGGATTTGGTGATTGTGTGAAAAACAGATATATATTTAGTGATTGTGATCAGCAAGTATGCCTCTTAATTTTCTTTTGTACTTCGTATTTATTGTTAATAAATATTTTTTGATTACCCTTGTAACTTTTATTTTATTTATTTAGTTGGATTCATCCTAGGCCAGTCTATTCCCTACCCCAATTTTTATTTTACATTCATACACACAATCACAAGTTCACATCATTCAGCATTTCTGCTTCTTTAAAATAACCTGAACATGAAAAACATCTGTTTAAAATAATCTGTTAACATGCCTATTAACATTACAAACAAGATTTGACCTTGAAATTTCAAAGTTTCCCCAAAATGTCACGCATAAATACTATTAAATCTCAAGGGATTTTGCCATACATACCAGAAAATTTCTATCATTTATGCTGAATAAAGAGAAAAAATTATGAAATAGCAAATATTACTTAAATCAACAGATTTCATTAACAAATATAAATTACAACATCTAAGTACCTTTCCTGTTGTGATTTATATATGTCCTTAATAAATTTCTGAGGAGCTAATGGTTTGTTTGACCCCAGAACCTCAAGTTTCTAACATGGCCATCAGTAAATGGTATTTTCTTGATTAGAATTCCAAAATCACTTTTCACTATATACATTGCCTTAATTGTCTGGGCATGTTTTTAAAAGTATTTCTAAAGACATCATGATAAATATTTTTAGTGAGTTGGCCATTTGGAGGATTAATTAATCAAAATACATTTTTATTTTGATGTCGTAAGTTTGACTTTTACTATGAATAATTTTATCAGACATCCGAGTGGCATCACAGGAGTACCACAATTTCTGATGCTCAGCAATATTTACAGGCAACTAATGTAGTATAATATTTACTATTATCGGCAGTATTAAAATTATATTACACTGAATGGCAACAGTCATTCTTAGTTTAAATATTGTTCTTACAACATAACATTTGATGTTCTGTTTTATGTGCAGTTTTAGTTGATTAAAGCTTCATTTCAGCTTCTTAAGGAAAGTGGTGTATTATATATACAACAACTAAATGGTTTAATATTTTTAGTGACAAAAAATATTCTTTTACTAGACATAAGCATTTTTATATGTTCCCACGTTTCTGTCTAGAAGCATAACTTTAAGACATACTATGCATATTTTTATATATTTATTCATGTCATTCTTAGGCAATATAACTTAAAATGACCAATATTTAAAACATGAGCATAAAATTTAAATTGTGTGATCAACAAGAAATAAAAAAATGCTTTCTGAAATATCTAACCATTATTTTATTAAGAACGTATATTAAATTTTTTGTTATCAGCACTGAAAACAAGAATCATGACATGAGCAGGTGAAAATTCTAGGTATACTACTTCGGGACTTAAGTTACAAGTTAATAAGCAACAAATATAATGAAATGGATTTCAGCCTACTCTTTTTAATTAAATTTAGCACTGATCAATTTATTTCTAAAAAGCAACACGATTAAAAACATTAAATTCTTTTACAGGCTTCTTCTATCTACAGATATCTATAAAAGTTCTCATCTTATCTACTAGTTTTGTATCAATGATGCAGACTGTCAAAAAGACAAATTTAATAAACATCTTGGGTAATGTATTAACGATATTTTGAAACACGCAAATTAAGAAACAAAGCTACCTGAAACGAACAATCATTGATCTTCCTGTCTTCACACATTTCTTGCCATAGAGGAGAGTGAGGAAAACATTCGCTCAGCGTGAAAAGAAAAATATAAAACAACCACATTTTTCTTGTAATTCCGGTACTAATCTCCTACATTAAATTATACTACTGTACAGAAATAATAGCTGGATGTAAAAGAAAAGTTTCATTTTCCGCCTCCTTTTTAAACTGCCAAAATAATGTAAAATATGTAACTTAAGTACTATAATGATAGCTCAAAATAACTATATATGTTTAAAATATCAATATTCTTTACACAATGGCCGTATCTAGAAAGATCGAATAATGCAAATTTATGATGTTCAGCAAACCAGCTTGCCCTATTCCGCATTTTGACAGAAACGACAAGTCAATAAAAAAAAGCTGATTTTGTTTGTGTATTTATTTATTATTATTTTTGAGCGAAAATTTCTTTCCCGGTATTACGAGTAAGCTATATAAAAATATCTGATAAATCTTAATTGACATGCTACTTCACCGACATTCACAAAAGTAAACATAAAAGGCACCGTTGCCACCCATCAAAAGTTGTATATTTTACTCCGTAAAGTTTCACACGTTTTCAATAATAATAATAATAATGTGTAATTTTTAGCATTTGCTTTCCTGTGTTCACTACTGTGTATTTTATGCATAATCATATCAATATCTATTATGTTGTCAATAAGATACAAATGACTAATTTAAATAAACCAATGAAAATTGTGTACCGCCATTTATTTACATTTCGTCGAAACTTGATGGTAATTTTAACATAAATTTTGATGGTTGGCAAAGAATCTGTACCCTTGAGGTGCTATTTTCCAGAGATCACGCCATGAGCTCGGTACCATACTGACTTCACCTCCTATCTACAAAATCATTCTGACAACCCTTGGCGCCCCCTCTCTTCAATCACTCTCTCCAATAAGCTACTTTCTCATCCCCCAAAAAAAGTTGACATTTGCCTGCGCCGTCTGAGAACAGGCGCTATCCTCACCCGCGAATTACTATTTAAATTTAATAAAATTGACTCCCCCCTTTGCCTATTCTGTAAGGTCCCTGACACCCTCGAACACCTCCTACTTTATTGCTCTCTCTACTCCTCTACTCCGCGCCCAGGAACACCCTACAGACGCATCTTCTTGCACTTTCTGAATCCCCCTCTATCCTTGCTGCACTCTACTCCACTTCCTCTACCATTCTCAAACTCCTAGGAGACTTCGTCAAAGACTGCAATTTCATAAATATGCTTTAAATCACCTCTTTGTCCCTTCTACCTCCAGCCCTCTGTCTCCCTCAACCACTACTTCTTCACCAACCTCTTCTAGAGCTCTACATGCCTGCTGGCTTTCCTCCTTCATTAACATCTGTCCACTATACTCAACTTTCTTCTTCCTCTTCTCTCCCTACTATGCATTACTACAAGACCGAGAGTCCAAAGCACTTACTTCTGTAAGAGACAAAAATACTACTCGACAAACGTTCCTCAACCGAGAAACTCTTCTCCTAGCCACCTCCAACACCCTACAACCAGCACCGACAAACCTCCGAAATAAGTAAGTATCCAAATTTATGTCTCTGTTCCTATTCTAATTTATATCTTCACTTCACCACGCCAGCTCATCACCTGCTCTACCTTCCTATTCTGAAATAGGTCATGCACATATTCATCTCCGGCTCTTCTCTTCTGCTCCCTCATTCTACTTCCATATTACCTCCATCTCCAAATCCTGCTCTCAAAATATTCCTCCTCAAGACGCACTTATCTATACATTTTTTCACATATATCTGTCCTTACTCTTAGAAATCTTATCAATCACCTTACATGGGCAAGTTTGCACGAATATATGAATTAATGCTACATTATCTGAATTTTCCTGACCTTACCATCCTTCGCTTTCCCTTTACTCTATGGATATCTCAAGCTTTCCCGGTCTCTCTCCCCTCTATTATAATTATTTACCTTATATATTTCTCTTCTCTCTAATAACTCGAAAGGGGCCACTCTATCTCCCCCTTTCCCTACTAAATAAAATCCTCCGTCCATTCCTTTTATCCATTTGGATTTAGACTCTGTCCCAAAGATTTCTGAAAATCCATGCACTAACCATTCTAGACTGATATCTAGATTCCAGTGTACTGAAAGTCATAGTTCTTTGGCATCGTCAAGTTCTCGGGAGCCGATCAGGACATCGAAATCGAGACGCCAAGCGACACAAGAAGAACCAAAACAAGGAAATTGGTTTGAGACACTCCTGCAAAACTGTAAGAACTTTCCTTTTTACCTTATCCCCCATTTTTTTTTTTTCCATTTTTTTTTTTTTTTCAATAATTACCCTTTCATCTTATATTTATAAATAAAATTAGTCTAAATTTTTCTTCTCTTTTTATTAATTTTTTCCCCCTTTTTGCATTTCTATCAAACGTGTAATTCCTCAATCCTACTGAAGTTATTATATGATAACTATAATTTCTATGCGCAACTAGATATAACTATTCTATGTTGTTAAGTTCTCCTTACCATGATTATATGCTGTATTTACTTGTTTATATACTTAAAAAATATATTTATTTATTTATCTATATATTTATTTATTTATAAATTGTTTTTCTTCCTCTACGTACAACCTGATGGAATCTACCGTATATTCTATTGTACAGTATATATGAAAGAATACAATGTGACAATTAAACTACTTAAAAACTTCACAAGTCGACATGCTCTATTACTGCATAATGTACTTATGTTTTCACCTGTTTTTTTTTTTTTTTTTTTTTTTTTTTTTTTTTTTTTTTTTTTTTTCCCTTCCCTCTCCCTGTATATCGTGTAAATTTTTAAATATGTTAAATATTTAGTGCCTCCTCGATGCAAATATTCACTGACTGTGGACACAACTATCTTAAAATAATATATTTACCTACCTAATTTTCTTACCTACACTCATCACATAGTTCCACCGTCATCATACTCATACGTATTAGCAAATTAGGTTTTTCTTCTCTTCCTTTTCCTCTATTGGCCCTTTTTTATATATATATATATATATATCTTTATAAATTTCTGTCCTCTCGATTTCACTATGGGCCATTTATTTTTTAATTTATTTTGTCCCAACTTTTCTTTCGGGCCTTTTGAACTCGTATAAAACAATACGAAGTTCCTTTTTACTATCCTCTAAATCTCGAAATTGCCCCCTTTCTATATACCTTTCCTTCGCACCTATGCTTGATTTTTCGCCCATCAGTGCAGAAAGACTTAGCGGGTGCAAAACAAGACATCTGTCTACTTTGTCTGTCTGTCTGTCTGAGCTCGGTACCAGTCTGTTCGTCGGTAAGCGATACTAGACCACCTAATACACTTGATAAGCGTACATCTGTACCTTATAGCAACGAGATGGATAACCTCATGGATACATCGACTGCGGATAATGTTAAAAGTATGAAAATTACCATAAAAAATTACACTGCTGTAGCAACCTGGCGGTGGGTGGCAAATGATGATAACTGTGGTATTTGTAGAATGCCCTTTGATGGTTGTTGTCCTGATTGTAAACTGCCTGGAGATGATTGTCCGTTAGTATGGGGTAAATGTACGCATTGTTTTCACATTCACTGTATTATGAAATGGTTGACTTCTTCTCCGCAAAATCAGGAGTGTCCAATGTGCAGACAAGAATGGAAATTCAAGGAATAAATTCAGCGTAATCAATATTGCTAGAAATTTATATTTGCACAAATTATTATGTATGGACATAGTTGCAAAGAAAAATGTCAAATCTGATAGCAAGGCTTTAAGCAAGAGAAATTATTGTGTGAAACTAAATTTTAAACGTGTGCTTTGCATATTGCTCACGAATTCTTTATTTGCGAAAGTTGCTACGTAAATGGTGTGAGAGTATAATTTGGGTTTTCATCCGCAGAGAACCCGTTGGCGCCGTTGCATTTTTACTCGCCAAGCTCGCGATTCATCGACGATGAGCCGAGCCGTAAATGTGATATTTTGTTTAACCTTGTTTTTAGGCAATCTAAATTTCAAGTTAGCAAACAAAACAATATATTAAGCATATGGTAGTAAAACTTAATATCCTAATTAAGTGTCATAAAATAATGCATTGTGTGTTAAAGATGGTAAATTATCCGTAACCACCCCTTGGCGATTTTTTTGCCACCATCATGGATTGACAAAAGTGTTTTCCCTGTCCGAGGGAAAACAATTTTAAACTACCAAACATGCCAAAAACAAGAACTTATGGCAATTTTTTTGTTACATCCTGACGTTACTTATCGCCGTTCCTTCAGATATGATCTGCTATTATGGAAAATTGCTTTTTATATTTCGAAAGAACATATAAAATCATCAAAAAAGCTCTTTTTAAATATCATACAAAACTATTTTAAATCTAAAAACTAAAGTTTAAAACTGTAAAAGTATATATAATTTCTCGTACCATTAAAATTCACTCATTAAAATTAATGATTTTTGTCACGCTTTAGTATTAGTCCTTTTTGGCAAAATTTGTTTGGCGACATTTTGGAGCGAATGAAAAATTATATAACCTTGGTAACCCCTAAATCTGACTTTCAAACATGCCGCCATTCTGTCCACAACTTTAACGAATTTGATAGGTATCAGAGCTTTGATGCAGGAGGGATAAATTGGTGGTTTTTCTTAAAGTTACTTTTTTGTTGGAAAGCACAACATTAAAATATTTTTTAAAAAGCCAAATTTTTTATAGTTAAAACTGGTGGCTTTTAATATTACATCAACAGGAGTCTTGACATTTTTTCAACCTGCAGATTATTATAAACTCCACCCCCCCCCCAAGGAAAAAAAAAAACAACATTTTCAGTAGCCTGAGGAAAACTCTTGGTGTTTCCTTTGCAAGGAGATCAAAATTACCAAGGTCTAAAATACTTTTTTACCTCATATTAGAACTATAGGGGATTGTAATTGCATGAATTCTTAGGTTCAAATCAGGACCAAAATTAGGTTCATTATTGCTTTTATAACATTTTCATAATTGTCTGACTAAAAAATATAATTGCTTGATTATGGAATATATTGCTATAATTTAGAGTTCTCAAATTTGAAATCTTACAACCTAACAGCTGTATATGAATAACCTTCACTGAGATTATACTTTTATTAATAGTATGTTGACATAACAGTTGACTTTTTATTTAAATTTATGCAAATTTTTTCACTTAACTTAAACATTTTATCTAACAGAAATCTGAATTTTTTGTAAAAAACTCTATAATAAAGAAGAGTACAAGTATATATAAAATTTGACTACATGGCAAGCATTAGATACGTTTCAATGTCTTTAAATGTTATTATCATAAAGTTTAGATATATTCTTATTAAGTTAAGATATATTTTATTCTATTATAAAGTTTAGATGTACGAACAGAAGGCACACTTTTGCGTACGACTCAGTCAACCACTTTGGGCAAGAACTTATGATAACAATTAAGTTCAAATGTAAAATTTA